AATATCTTTGCAGCATGCCTCAGGTTTTAACAAGCTCTTACTTAATCAGCCTGATTTCACCATGGCTGTGGGCGATGAGAAATCTGCTGTGCATGTAGCAGGGCTCTGAGTTGGGCCAGCACTATTCCCAATCCTCTCCCTCTGAGGGCAGCTCATGCCCTGCCTGGAATACCATGCCATAAGCAAAATGCTCTGCCCTTTGCTCACAAGCTCTGATGCTTTTCTGCAGATGGATGTGGACTGAGAACCCCCAACTCTCACTGGTGCTGCAGAGAGAAACCAGCAGAGCCAGAAATTGCCTAACATAGCAGCAGGATTTCCTGGTCTAGCATGGTTACACCAAGCAATGCCACCACAGAGAACACCAAGCAATGTCTGTGCATTGTGGGCAGAATGAAAAGTGGGGCATCACCTCTGCATCACATCTGATTTTGGTGGCAGATGTTTAGCACAGAAATATAGATCTCCCCCCATAAAGGCCATTCGTAAATGGTCTTTTTGCAAATGATTTTTATTCTAGTGAGAGGTGCCCAGGGGCATTCAGAGCTTTGGAGAACAAGGCAAGCAAGGCCCACCCACATGGCACCAACTGCCAAGGCAAAACCAGGAACGAAGGCTCAGCTATTTTTGCAGAGGCTGCAGGAAGGGAGAATGAGATCTGTTAGAAACACACCCCTACAGAGAGAGCCTTTCCTCCAGCAAAGCCCTGAAATCACAGCCTGCCTGTAGATACCACAAGCATCAATGCACACTGGGTATCACCCCACCCTTACCACACTGCTGTACAGTTCATCTGCTGCAGCACAGCACACACCAGAGCAAATAGGCAGCAAAGCCAAGCTGGGAGAGAGCAGAGTGGCAAAAATAAAGCAGCTATTCAGGTTTCAGCTATCAGCAAAGCTTTGCAGAACAAACCACCACCAAAGGCTGGCAAACAGCATTTCTCTACATGGTTTTCCAGGAGGGGATTCACCAGGAACAGACACAGCAGCAGGCATGGAAGTACCTGTGAATGACACAACTGGGAAGTTTATCAGTGCAGGAATCCCTGACAACACATCTGTGTGAGGAAAGGTGACAGGCACATGTGCATTTCTGGGAGTTCACCCAAAGCACCATCAATAAAATGTTCAGCCAAGTGCTGCCATGGACCACAGCCCTTATCACAGGTAATGGGATCTGGATAGGGAGAATCTTTCCCAGTTGGTTGGAGCTGGAATGGGCAGCAGTTTGGGGCATGGAAAAAGGAAAGAGAAGCAACTGCACTTCTTTTGTTTTATTAGCAAATGGGCAGTATCTGGACATGTAAAAGAAATAAGTCCTTTCCAACATGACCTCAGATGTCCTTGTCAGTTACTTGCACTGCTCCCACACTGCAGTCCCTGTCTTTCACATAGCCAAAAGCTTTGGGTAAACAAAGAGCACGGAAACACACACACAAAATATACAATATATACAGGTTTCTCACCAACTAAATGGCCTCAGATTTTTGGAGCTCAGCAAGGCTTTGTTCATTTGACTTTGCAAGTAATATCAAAACATCTCGAGTTTGAAAATAAAAAAAATACTACAATATTCACAATATAAAACTTAAATAATTTGTTGCTTTTTTTTTTTTTTAATTAAAGGACTGCTAACAGCTATTGACTGCTCACAGCTCTTTCAACAGAAGCTCTGCTGCTGAAGCACTGAGAAGTTATGGTTCAGGAAGCGACATTCACATTCTGCACTGCTCCTGGTCAGGGTTAAGATGTTGTCAAACTCTTGACAGTGTGCCTGGAGACTTGTCCAGGTGTTCCATCCAATAGGTTCTGCTGAAGGGGCAGGGCAAGGTGAGAGAGGTGGCAAAGAGCCACTTTCAAAGGGGCTGCTGCTTCCCAAGAGCAGAAATGCAGGTCCACACACCTCCACCACCACATCTTATTTAGCTGTCTGCATTCCCAGCTCCAGCTCTTCATGCCTGGGCAAACAGCATGACTAAGAGGTATGTGACACTTCCTCTCCTCTGCTCTTCCCTTCCTGCTAGCATATTCCCGTGTTTTATTAAGCAGTTGTGGAATTAAATGATTGGAGAGAAGCTCCTGGGTCAGTCTCCTCCCTGCCCCACTGTGCCAAGTATGCAAGAGCTCCACAAACAGGGCAGATAAGCAAGAACCTCCAAAGGAGAAATTCAATCCGCCCTTACACAATCTCACCCATGACAAAAAGAGGTCATTAAGTGTGCTTGAAAGGCAAGAGATCAAATTCTGCCTAGGAAATCTGGATTCTGAGATGGAATCCAGGGTTGGTTGTTTCGCTTTCACTTCACCATTCAAAGGAAGCAGAAACTAGGACAAACAACAGGTACAGGAGATATCTCTTTGGTAACATCTGTGAAAGAGTCTCTCAGCAATGGGTACATTTCACTGGGATCATAAAAGCCTGAGAGGATCCTGCAGAAGTTTCATAGGACCACTGGGAAAACAGCCTCCCCCAGATTAACCAGGACCTCTGGGAGGCTGAGAGAGGCCCTGGATCCCTCAGACTCCTGCTCTAGCCACACAGCAGTGCCTCAGAGAGAGCACATCCCAGATATACAAGCTGAATCAACAATCTCTTAGTACAGACAGAAGGTCTGGAGTGCATTTTAGGGTATTTAAGGCAGAAGTGGGTGAGTCCTGGCTGAGGAGATTGGTAAACAGACCCAGGCTGGACTCAGTAGCTGTAGGATACTAGCACAGTCAATGGACGAGTTTAAAAAGGATTTGAATTCCATTACTCTGGTCATACACCTCTTTTAGATGTGGCTCAGGTAAGCTGCAGCCTCTCTCTGACAGGAAACTACCATGTGTAAATGCTTTGCTTTTGTTCGGTTCCTTCTAACTAAAGTATAACATTCAGTTAGTTTCCGTATCAGCTCTCCCCTCCCGTTGCAAAAAGACTCAGCTGATGGAGCAGGGGCTGAAGAGGCAGCAGAGAACCCAACTGCTCCTTCCAGCTGAGGATGTGGTTTCCTCAGAACAGGCTGCAGACAGTTTTGAGGCAGAACAGCAAGACTTGCATTGACTTGTTTCATATTCTACCTACTCTTTGTCTGGAGAAACAGCATACCCTGGTGTCACTGCCAGCACAGAGACCAGCAAAACAATGGCTAGGAAGTCCTGTTTATCTCTGACTGTGATAAAACAAGAGCACTGAACAAGGGGTTTGTCCAAAGTGAGCTAATGCTGCCATAAGCACTGTCTCAGGGCTGGAATCTCAAGGACCTGCCTGAGAACCTACCCCAGAGGCACAAACCCACACCTCAGTGGATCTCCAGAGTCACCCCCACATCTGTCACTAAAGCAGCCTGAATGAAGCATATTAGAAATGTGCATCTTCCTTCAATTCCTGCAATGACAACCCACTAGCTGCACAGTCTCCCCAGATGAAAGACTTCAGAGCTGCTGCGTGAGGCTGTGGTAATCTTCAAGTCCACCACAAAAGGGTTTTGCACCTGAAACAAAGGAATGGGAAAAGAACAAGCTCTTTCCCAAAGCAGTGATGGCATTCACTCTAAGCAAAGCATTTTGGAAATGATTGATCAGGCCATGGGTCCAATTCCAGATAGTATAAAGGCAGGAATTAACAAATCAGCAAGAAACAACCTGAAAACAACCACTCTTGAGTTTGGTAGTGCAGACCATAGGTTGGTTCATCTATTCTTCTGTCATTAGACTGTTTGCTGCTCTGCAAAGGGTTAAATTCTGCTGGGACTCAGTCACTGCATCCTTTCAGCTGAGACAAATGGACTCCCAGGCAGTAGGGCCACTGGGAAATACATATGCTGTGCTGTGACAACAACATGTCTCCAAGTAAGAGGACAGCTCGAGGTCAGCTTTCGCTTCCTCAGCCTTCTGCTTCTCTGGCTGTCTCATCACTGCTGCTAAAATTGGTTCAAGGGCACTTGAGACTTTTAGCAGAGATTTTTTTTTTTTCTCCTTGCATCAAAACCCCCAAAGGTCTAATATTTACTATGACCATGAAAAGTAGAATCTGAATGTGAACTGGAAGTTGGTGTTATCTGAGGATCAGCCCTGGAGAGCTGAGCAAATGGAACAGTCCAGATTTCCTGCTTAAGGGCACATCTCCACTTTGCCAGTAGCTGCAACAAAGAGCATATAGTTTGTCATGCTTGAAAGCTGCACAAATACCCATCAGGGAAGAGAAATTACTCCTCTCTAAAATATACATTTTGGTTGGAGGATAAGAGATTGGAGAACAGTTTTCCAGCTCCACCACAAATCACTATTCCCTGTTTTACCTTAGGGAACAAGGAGGGAAGCTGAAGTTTAACCTGGAGAAGAAATATTAACGTTAGTCTGACCTAACAACCGAATTCTCTTTAAGCCTCATCTGTAGTACAACAGAGAATCCATGAATTAGGGATTGTTTTCCTGAAGCAATATAAGAAAAAGCTGCCCCTAAATGTCATTTCAAGTGATCATCCCCATCCAGGGGGTCTGGGGACAAGGGAAGACATCAAAACCAGCTGATAATACTACTTGGCCCTTTGGACTTTTCCAAGTGCTTTGCAAAGGAAAAGCCTCACCACATCTCTGTGAGGTAGGTCAGTAAGTATTATTATAGCCCCTTAGTACAGCTGTGGAAACTGAGGCAGAGAAATTACTTTCCTGAAGGCCACTGCAGCACTCTGAGATGGGAGACAAGATTCCTTAGCTCTCAGAGAACTTCCCTTTCTCTCCCTTCCCCATACAAATCTCAATGGAGAAACAAACAAAGGAGAGAGGGGCTATAATGCCACATTTCTGCCAAACAGCAGAGCTCCTAGTGCTACTCCAGGAACCTCCAAACAGGCTCACGAAACACCCAAGTCCCTTCAAAATGCCCACGCACATCACCGAGAAGCCACGGGACAACACCAACCTAACGCAATAAATAAGGGTGGAAACACATGTGGCTGCATCTGGGGCTGAGCACTGAGGTGTCCCCAGCCCAGCACGGTCCCTGGTGGCAGGAGGTCACTCCTGAGACTCCACGGCCACTCCGACCAGCGCGTGCCTGATGGTGCGGCCGTGCAGTTTGTAGCCGTCCTGGGTGACGAGCGCGACGGTGCCAGGCTGCAGCCCCTCGGCCCGCACGTGGCACACGATCTCGTGCTCGTAGGGGTCGTACCTGCCCCCCACGGGGCTCATCTTCTGCAGGCCATGTTTGGCAAAGACGCTCTGCAGTTTGGCCTCGATGAGGGAGAGGCCTTCGTAGATCTTCTGCAGGGTTGGGTTGGGGTTGCTGGGCTCGGCTTCCTCCGCGGCGCTCTCGGCTGTCTTCTCCAGGATGTCTGCGACCTCCACCAGGTCCCTGCAGAAGCTCTGGATCCCTGCAGGCATAAAGAAGTGAATGGAGCCACCTTACAGAGCTACAGCAGCAATGACAGACACAGTCACAGCAGCTGGAAAGCAGCTTTGAAGCTGCTAATTGATTTGAACTGTTGCTTTAGAGAACTGACAAGTGTCTTCCGAGTCTTGTAGACAAAGTTTTGGCATTTAGAGTGATCTAAAGGCTCTCCAAATCAAAATTCAGGCAAATTCAACTTGAGGCATTCTCTCCAAGTTCAATTTCAGGCATTGGAATAGGTTGCCCAGGGAGGTGGTGGAGTCACCATCCCTGGAAGTGTTTATGAGGCATCTGGATCTGGAGCTGGAGGATATGGTTTAGGGTTTAGGGGTTCCAGCAGTGGCAGGTTAATGGTTGGGCTTGATGATCATAGAGGTCTCCTCCAACCTTGATGGTTCTATGATTCTATAATATCCTAAAGGAGATCACAAGCTGATGACACAGCTGAGTGTGAAACACACCCTGCAATTTCAACCAAGTCAGCAGAACTCCACCCAACTGCACTGGGCCCATTTTTTAGAAAAAAAAACCAGTCACAGAACAGTCACTGAGGCAAACCTGACAAGACACAGCTGGACACAGAGGAACACCAGTGAGTAAGCCCAGACACCATGTCCAGGCCAAACATCAGGTCAGACTTTACATCGAATGAGGGCAGGACAGGGGGAGAGCAAAGCTGTTGATCAGCATTTTGTGCTCACTCAGGCAGATCACTGCAGTGGTCACAGCTCTGCCTCACTCTGCTTACCAAAGAGCTTAGCATCTTCCACAAACTTCTGCGTTCTCCTCCGGACGTTCTCTGAATCAGCCAAGGCTCTCCGGTATCGCTCCTGTAACCACACAGAGGGGAGACATCACACCAGGAGACAAACCCCCTTTCCTGACAGCTGGGAATGCTTGAAGAGCTCACTACATGTTGTGCTGCCCCTGCACTTCCACCACATCCAAATCCAAGTCCTTCTCCTACTGGTTAACCAACACTCCCTCAAAAGACCCAAGTGAAGGCCAGAAGCATTTTGGGCACTGAGTGACTGACTTCAGCTGGACACCAACTGTCAGGTTGCTGCTCTTTGTGTGACTCACTGTGGCTACAGAGACACTCCTTTCTCCAGCAGCCAAGCTGGTGGGCTCAGCCACAGATCTGTGAGTGGCTGATTTATTGCGCAGTGCAGGATTCTCAGGGTGATTATCTCCAGAATTACCCAGCGTGGTGGGATTTAATCCCCTCCTTAGTTACATGTGTTCTTCAATATATAACATCATCCCTATCATTTCCAACACACCACTGTCACTAAAAATGACTTCCCTGCTTGGACAATCTGGATCTGGTGAGGCACAAAGCTGTCAGAGGCACAATATAAGAAAGATCTAAAGCTGTTAAGTGCCCAAAGGAGGGACATGAAGATGGTGAAGGGTCTAGAGGGGCCATATGAGGAGGGTCTGAGGGCACTTGGCTTGTTCAGCTGGAGAAGAGGAGACTGAGGGAAGACCTCAGGGGTCTGCAGCTCCTTCCAAGGGGCAGTGCAGGGTCAGCACCATTTCTGCCCTCTAGGACAGTGACAGGACCCAGGGAAAA